TAAAAATAGAAGTATGATGATAGTTATTTACTATGAGTAAAATAATTTCCCTAATAAAAATGATGGATGACAAAGTATCGAATATCTCGTTCTCTTTCCTCTATCCTCTCTTCTTGCTCCTTCGGATTCTTCCCGAGTACGACACCGCTAAGTGGAGGGAGGGAAGGGAACAATATATATATATATATAGCATGTGCCTTAGCGCCACCACTAGCATTATAATGCTATTAACGAAATCTAGAATTACTATAGAACATACATGCAAACAACATGGAGGTGATTTTTGTCACTGTTGTGCTCTTAAGCAAGTGTCGTAGCGCTCTGAAGTATAGCGGTAAAGCGCTCTAGTTCAAACAGACATTCAAAAATTCATATGTTTTAGTTACCAAATGTTTTTAGTATCTTTGGTTTTTTCAAAATAGATAATTCTTTCAAATTTGATTCTAGGACGTGATAGCCTAAGCGGTTAGTCAACTTGAATAAAGCAATTTAATCCAAAGAGCCCTAATAGGTCAATTTGGTTCCACTTGGGCTACCTACCAAATCGCCTAGACCCAAGTAGCCTAGCAACCTTTTAGAGGTATTTATACTCACCTATCTTGTAATCGTAACCATTTTATGGTTTTAGTTAAAATAGCTCAAGCTAATTGAGTGGATGAGTCCATATTATGCTCAATTGAACTAGTAATTAGTTAACTTAGGTAATCCATATAACTAGCAAATGCCCGCGGGTCAAAGGGAGGCCTTAGGGATGTCTGGGTCATCCATTGGTTCACAAATAGGATTAAATGGGTTAATTATTGGTTCAACTTAGGTATTGTTAAGGTCCATGGTCTTAACCTAGGGAATATAAATGTCCCATTAAGTCAATAAGCTCAAAAGGAGATGAGGAAAAAGACAAATTAGTTTGAGTCAAGTAAATTGTGCTTAATAACTTAATAAGGCTCCAATTGGGCTTAATAACTTACTAAGATTAGGGTAGGTTCAATCTAGATTTGATCTTGGTCAAATCCAATCTATATCAAACTCGCAAGGTGATGTAGAACGAAAACGCAAAGCTTTGCTATGGAGAGGATCTCCTCTCCAAAATCTAAAATTGTTCCTTGCAAAAACTGAAAGAAATCTGGATTTATCCTAGCTCACAAAATCTGAAAATTTTCTTCAGGTTTTTGTTCCAAAACCTGAGAAAATTCTCAGGTTCCAAGTAGAAGGAATGCTTCACGGGAGGAGGGAATTAATTTTCGGCTAGCTAGAGAAATTAGATGGGATTTGTGGGGCCCGAACAGTCTCTTCTCCAAAAATCTGACAGCAAGCCTAGGTGAGGCCTTGGGAAATTTCAGGGTTGATGGAGAAAAGACAAGCTGAGAAAAATTCTGCCTATAGGAATTAACTGGACAGCAAATTATTTGAGGGAATTTGAATTATTTCCTCAAATACTTTGATGAAAAATTTAGGATTTAATTCCAACGGGAAAACTGGTAGCCGCAATCAGGTTCGGCGGATTGGTTTCTTATGGAAATTCGAAATAATACCAAGCCACAGCAATTAAGGAGGAGACGGATGAATTGGCCAGATTTTGGAATTACTTCCAAATCAGGAGGCTGAGAATAAATGGACAGAATTGACGTTAGCTTAAGGAGGTGGCTGAATTGTGGTTAGATTATTGGAATTAAAACCAATTAAGGAAATTGAAATAAGTGAATAGAAGTGGACGTGACCACTAGGAGAATTGGCTTAGAAAACGGCTTGAGTTTAATTGGCAAGATTTCCTAAACTCAGCCACATGGAATAGGAAAGAAATAAATAGGGTTAATTCTTGGATAATTCGGCCAAAGAGCAACATAAATAATTTGCATTATTTCCCAATTGAGTTTATTTAGTAATGACAAAATAAATCCCAACTTAACTCATATGGGGGCCGGCGACATTAATGGGCAAGAGGGAATGTGGGAATGAGGTGTCATGCTTGCATAACTGTAAATTTAGGATTAGGAAAGTAATTAAATAAATCCAATTGAATTTGAAATTCAAAAAAATTGATTTAAGAACTTTCCAAAAATAGAATGACAAATTAGGAAAGATTTCAAATTCAAATTGTTGGATTTGAATTTCGAAAATCTGTCCAAAGATTAAATTACCCAAATTAGGCAAGGATTTCAATGGGGAGAAGGAGGTGGAAGGTGGCCGACGGGTAGAGCTTGGGCCGACGGTATGAGGGGTTGGGTGGAGTGTCGACCGTGGGTTGAGGAGGTGGAGCTAGGGGGAATACTGGGTGGATGAAGAGGGGAGGAAGGAGATGAACAAGAATATACGAGAAAGATAGAGATAAATAACGAACTCACAAAGAGATCGTAAGAACCGCGAACCTCGGACTCTTCCAAAGATTGACGGGTAGTGCAAGTTACCCTCCTCGGGCTTCTCCTCTCATGAACTCACTAAGAGATCAACAAGAACATAAAACTTTTCATTATCAATAACCCTCCATTACAATAGCTTAAGGCCCTTATTTATAGGCCCCAATATGAGAAAATTCGAAATTATAAAATTGCCCCTTGGACCATAACACTCAAACAAACTATCCTAGGGGTAAAACAGGAAATACATTAATGTAGAACTAAAATTCAGAAAAATAAATCATAATAGAAGGTTTAAATGATAGCCGTCGATTTGCGACGCCTCTTGTGATAGATGCGTCAAATCTTCGTACCGATGTCCGCATCACAAGGTCCTTATATCTTTAAGACATCTAAAGTTCATTCATAATGTAAGAGATATGATTTTGTTTACCACATATGGCCATATTGAGTCAAGATGAGGTCAATTCTAATTAGATTAGGGTTTGTTTCATCTAATGAGTTTGATTAGGTCCAATTAGGATAAACACGATTAAGTCACATTAAAGTTGGGCTAGGGTCAAATATAGTTTAGATTAGAGTTGAGCCACTTAATTAATATAGGGCCTCTAAGAAAGGAACTGACACTGGGTGAATCTATCCGAATCGGTTTAGCTAACCAAAACCACATCTTCTCTATTATTTTGTAGCTGAGTGTGTGACCTTGTATGTAGTAATTTGTCTATATAAGCAACTAAACTTTGTAATAAAGGGGAGAATAAGATAATAAAGATTTCAATTTCTATTTTTTTGGGTATTTTGTATCCTGATACCCTCAGGTGGTGTTACCTGTCTAAGAACCTTGTTCTTGGGTGTTATTTTTGAGTTGTGATTCCAACACTTGTATCTCGTTCGATCCTCGTCTCCTTCTGCAACTCGACACCTATGTCCGGTGTCATTTGGTATCAAAGCTTGCAAGATGCTGCCTCGCAGGAACCAGCAAGGACCAATGCAAGAATTAGTGATTGCAAATATGCAAAGGAAAATTTAGCAACTACAACATTGATTAGCTCGGTTTGAAAAAAGACAAGCAGTAGGAAGGCAATAAGTTGAGGAAGACATCAACCTTTTCCATCAAGATTCTTCAAGTGAGAAAGAAGTGGAGCGATGCCATCAGGTTAGATTTCGACGAGGTGCTTGGGATGATAGGGGAATCAAAGTGGACTTGCCCCAGTTTGATGAGCGGTTGGACCCCGAGGAATTCTTGAATTAGCTACACAGTTCAGAGAGTCATTGAATTTAAAGAAGTGCAACCTAATCGTATTGTCAAATTAGTGGCCATTAAGCGAAAGAAAAGTGCGTCTCTATGGTGGGAAAATTTGAAACAGTGACGGGATCGTGAAGGTCAAAGAAAGATAACTGAATGGTCAAAAATGAAAAGGGAGTTACAGCACAAATACTTGCCTGATCAGCATCAGCAAGATATCTTCTTGAAACTTCATTGATTACAATAAAATCATCTCGCAGTTGCTGAATTCGAGTAGGTATCATAAAATTTTTTCTGCCATTATTTTGGATATTGTTTGAGCCCATATAAGAGATTAATATATTTTCATACTTTGTTCTCATTTTATGATAAAATATTATAGTGGCATCATTTAAATATATTCTTTTAAATCATCATTCAGAAATGTTATCTTCATATTTATTGCATAAATTGAAGCTAGGATGATATTAAAACTTATGGAGATAACTCTAACAACTACAAACTAAGGTTTCATTTGGAACGGGCTTTTTGCTGCTTCTTAAAGCAATTTATTAGTACTAAAAAGCCACGTTAAGAAGCAGTAAGAAAGCCGTTCAAAACAAAGCCTATGTATAAAAATAATTTAAATCATTCTTTTGAGTTTATCCTTTTTCCATTAGTGAAGCTTTAAATATATCAATTATAGTTTGTTCCTTTCTTGAATATCAATGTGCATCCTATAGATTTAGTACCTAGAGGTAAATTTGTTAACTCTCTTGTATAATTAAACATAATATAATCTGTTAACTCTCTAAATCTTTGTGAACTGGATGAGTACCAGCTTCTCTCCTCAAAATGGCATTCAAAATCATATATACATCACTTGGTTAAAAAGCTGCCGCCACCCAAAATAGATCCTAAATATCACATTCTTAATATGATTTGATGCAAAAGAAATTTAGAATTCGCATATCACTAGTAACAAATTAATTTAGTAATGTGCTTAGTGAACAATCAATTATTCCCCCGAAAAAAGGTGAACAATCAATACTACAGCTTTGTTTGGGACAACTTTTTTTACTGCTCCTTAAATTTAATTTCTTTGGAGAACATAAATCCAAGCTATAAAAAATGTCCTGCAGACAACCATTCCTCCAATATCAATGCTATTTAATTAGCTTATGTGAACATCAACAATTGCATTCATGATAGAACATCATACAGTTACAGTACAATCATAAAAAAAAAATCGTAGACCAACACTTAGCTTTATTTGGGGCAGTTTTCTTACTTAATTTTGTTTGGGCAGTTGTCTTACTCCTCTATAAAATAATTTTTTAGCACAAAAAAAAATTTGAATTAGAATTTTTTTTACTAAGGAAATATTTTAGAAAACAGTAAAAAAGCAGGACAAACGAAACCTGAATTCAGTCGGAGTTGGGGGGCGGGTGATAAGGTGGTGGAGTTCCGATGTTGGCAAGCAATGCAAAGTGGATGGCATCAGATCCTCTCGCGTGCGGGATTGAGGCAGCTAGCGGCGAAGCTTCTTAAGCCAGGGCTTGCTCGCCACCGGCGTCAGGTTCTCTCGCCCGTGGAATTGATCATAAACTAGGGCTCTCTTCGTTTCTCCATAAAAAATTAGGGCTAATATTCTATCAATAATTTATTAATTTTTAAAAACTCATGACCTGTAAAAATTATGCATATTTTTATAAATAAGAATTTTATTATAATTATGAATGAAATTCCGGATTTTCAAACCCGAAAACGGAAATCCGCTTTCTTTGTTCTGGTTTCAGCTGCTATAAATTTAAAAAAAAATTAATTTTTAAGTCGGTTGCTTTAATTCCTGTTTCAAACCTTTAACTGGAAATATTTAAATTATACTTAAAATTATTTGTTTTATTTTTCAAAAAAAATGCCTATAGAAATTTTAATAATTAAAAAGTGATAACAAAATAAAAGTATACTTAAATTAATTTATTATTTCTCTTTGTATTTGGTTCATTATTTCCTAACAATAACACATCTACACAATATATTTAATTATACTGAAGCAATTGCCTAAAGATTATAGTATTTTAAATTTTTTAAGGGGGGCAATTGCCTAAAAATTATTTTAAAAAAAAACTAAAAATATATTAAGGGGGACAAATTACTAAAGAATCATATAATCATATATTAAAATTTCAATATTTGATGCATAAATTTAATAATAATTTATATTGAATATTAATTATTTTATCGAATAAAAGTATTTATTATTTTATTTAATATTTTCCCGTTTCAAATTTAACCGAAAAATTGATTTGTCGGTGGTTAAATTGAATTAAAAAATTGGTTTTTAAATAATAAATCGGTAGAATTCGGAATTGATTTTCTTTGAAATCGGATTTTTTTTTCTGCTTTCTAAGAAATGGGGTTTTCATTTTTTTTGTTCTGCTTATTCCTTAATTTCGAGGGCTGTGCACTCACAATTATAATAAAAATTATTAAAATGCTCATTTATAAAAAATATGCTTTAAAATTATGTGTTATGTATAGGGGTGTCAATATTTGATATGACCTGAAAATCCCGGGTTAGGGTCAACCTAGACCCAAAACGAATCGGGTTTGGATTCCAGAATTCGACCAATTTGAAAAAATAGGTTGGGTCCAGGTCAACCAGCAAAACTGGAATTGACTCGAAAATCGTCTCAAGTCTTGTTCTATCGTCAAGTCGCGTTAGAACCTAGATGTCGACAGCACACTTCATCAGTTGCTGAGTCGCGTCGTCAAGCACATCAGTCACATCAGCCGTCCTCGAGGCTCCCGTCATTAAAAGTTCGGCCGTCCTCCAGGCTTCATTCACCGTCGGCCATCCTCCAGGCTCTAGTCCATTTGTCTTTCATCGTTCTCCGTTCACCGTCGGTCGTCTGCATTAAGCAACCACCACTGTCACAGCCTCTGTCGGTCGTTCGTTGCCGCAGCCTATGTCGCCTCTACCCTCGCAGCCAACCTGCCATCCGTCGTTTCGCGGTTTCCGGCCTTAGCCGTAAACTACGAAAGCTTACAGTCGGATCGTGTCGGGTTGACCCGGACCCGAGGTAGGTCGGGTTCGGATCTAAAAATCCGAGTCACTTGCAAAAACGTGTCGTGTTGAATAGAAGCGGATAATTGTCGCGTTCGACTCGAATCTGACCCGCAACCCGTTTTTGACACCCCTAGTTATGTATGTGAAGTCTCTCTCTATTTGTGGCCTCTCTTTCCCAATATCTCTCCTCTCTCTCATCTCATTTTGATAAAATTAAATTTAATAGTAATTTTGGACCATGCAAATAAACTCACATATAAATATTTTATTTACAATATTGTTTTATTGATATCATTAATTAATTAATTTTCTTTAAACATATTTTTAATCAGCAATAACTTTTTTATAGAATGAATTTATTTATTTTAAACTAAATTCAATTAGCTTGCATAATTTATTTATTTTATAATATATTTTGATAACACACAAAGAATGATTTATTAATTTGCAAAATAATAAAATTAATTATTATTACATTTTTAAATAGTTAATGATTAATTAAGCTTGCATGTTTATAATTACATTTTTCATTATTTAATCCTAATAGTTAGTCTTAGTACAACTGATTAATTGAATGATAAATTATAACAATTTGTAATTAAATAATTAAAATAATTAGACATTAAAGTCAATATTATCACTATTATTGTTTAATTATGGTAATTAAGAGTATAATATGCTTAATATAGGAGTGTAAACAAGTCGAACCAAGCATGAGTCACCCTTTTGAGCTTGAGCTTCATTAGTTAATTGAGTTCGATCTTGAGCCCTAGCTTTATTTCATGAGTTTGAGCCGGCTACAACTTTATTCTATGGAAGAGAGATTGATTATGATTTAAGCAATCATAATAATAAAATAATACAAAGAATGATAAATTAAAATAAAAATAATGAAACATAACTTAATATAAGAAAGTGACATATAGTTTTTAAATATTTTTAGCAACTTTATACTTAAATTCTTAATGTTATTAAATTTTAATTGTATTTTATATTAATATATTTTTAAAAGAGCCGGCTCAATCCCTAACGCGTCGAATCAGGCTAGCTCAAACTTTGCTCATTAGCTCATTTAGCTCAGCTCACGAGACATTTATTGAGTTGAGCTCGAGCCATCACATGAGTCGGCTTATCTCACTTACACCCCCTAGCTTAATCACACAAATATCTCATTTTAAAAAGGTAAATTATTTATCAATGAATTGAAGATAACTTAAAATAAATTAAATAATTTAATCCAAATTATTAAAATTTATTTGATAAATTTGATCAGATTTGTGAGAAGAAGCTTACATTTGGATTGGAGTATTTGGACTTATTTTGTTAGAGGAATCCAAATTGCTTTTTATGTAGATCATATATTGACTAATTATAAGAAAGCCAAAGCCTTCCCTCTCGTTATCTTTAGAAAACCTAAATGGGCCCCACACTAGATTATGAAATATTATTGGTTTTTAGTTGTAGCTGCTTTTTTTTCCTTTCATTAAATTATTGAGGCCAAAGCATACTAGTGTTTTACATATAAAAGAATAAAATAAAAAAATGGCTTCTTTGTTGAGTTGTTGAAAGAGACATCTTTTAAGATAATCAATGAGTGTATTAGTTTTCAGATAATCAATAAGTGCATCATTATTCAGATAATCAATAAGTGTACTTAAGGGTATCTTGCTCATGCACTTATTATTCCCAATCAATCACCTCTTATAACTTCCAATCAGTGTACTCCTTATAATTCCTCTTAAATCACATAAATCAGTTGCCCTGATTCCTTATAACTCTCAATCAATTTTCAGCTCCTTATGACTCTCAATCAGTGAATCATGTGGATCATTAGGATATCACGTTAAGTTATTATATCATATATTTGATACAATTTAGTACTTCATTTAAAATGCAATAAAATCATATCAAATTGTTCTTAATGATCAAATATATAACACATCCAAATTTGCACGGTGAAAGCTTATGAAATCAAGATATAATGCATTTTTATACATTTAGGAGAAATAAAATATGTAAAAATCAAAATAATTTAAAATAGAAATAAAAGATTAGTCACTTACAATGAATATAATAAAATATGTAACATTAATTATTGACAAATATGATCTAAAGACCATTCTCTCACTTTTCTTCTTCTCATCTTTCAATTTCTTTTTGTCTAAGCAATTAAGTGAGGGAGTCAAAGGGTGAGGCAAGGATATTGATGTATCATCAATAAATTATCTTGATTGGGTACGAATCTCGAGGCAAAATTGAGCCGGAAACTTCAAAAATTAAATCTGGTATCACTTGAACTCTGATTTTAGCAAACTTATAGTCAAATTGAGCGTCTCAAAAATATGAACTCAACGACACCAAATTCAACTCAATCCAAACCCAAATGAGTCCAAATCAAGCACCCGAAGCACTATTAGAAAGTTCAAACCATAATTTGAGTTACCAAACGGTTTTCAAATATGATGTTCTTATAATCAAATCGAGCGGCTTGACGAGACGAATCCAACGAGCCCAAGATTACCAAATTCCAACATCATTAAGATCTTCAAATATCTGACGAAGGGTGCATGATCAAGGGATTTAATATCGGCCGTCATTCCGACCACTCCCTATTTACCCCTAATCTCTCACATATTTACAAGCCATGCCACTCCAAAATATATATAAATAGCCCCCTCATTTCTCACGAGAGGGGACCCAGGAAAGAAGCTAGAAAAAGGAAGAAGAAGAGAAGGAGAAGAGAAAGATAGGAGGGAATAACTCCTCCTCGACCACCGTCAGAGTTCTGCCCGACGCCAGAATTCTTCCAGACTTCCGAATAACGTCGGAGTTCTACTCGATGTCGAAATTCTGCCTGACCTCAAATTGATGTGGGAATTTCACCCGACTTCAAAGTAATGTCGGAGTTTTACCAGAACTCCAAGTAACATCAGAGTTCTCCCTGAATATCATCTAACGTCGAAGTTCTCCTAGGCCACCAATTGACGTCCGACTTCTACCCGACGTCGGACCTCCGCTCTTCGCCAAATTTCTACCTAACACTAGATTTCTGCCAATTATCAGACTTTCACCAGACATCTATCTGATGTTTGATTTCTGCTCATTGATGGACTTCTACCAGATGCCGTCTTTCTAACCTCCGTCATCAGACTATAGTCCTTTCGACCTCCGTCGTCTGCTGACTATGGTCCTTCAGACTTACGTCGCCCATCGACTACAGTCCTTCCGACCTCCGTCATCTGTCGACTATAATCCTTCAGACTTACGTCGCCCGTCGACTACAGTCCTTCCGACCTCCGTCGTCCATCGATTACGGTCCTTCAGACTTACATCGCTCGCCAACTATAGTCCTTCTGACTTACATCGCCCGCCGACTACAATCCTTCTGACCTCCATCACCTGCGGACTATGGTCCTTCTGACTTACGTCGCACGCCGACTACAGTCCTTCAGACCAAACTAACACATTAACATTGATGCTTTGTATTATCACTATGTAATGTACTCTATAATATGTACATCAAGCTAAGGCCTTCTCCCGGGGAAGGGCCTCATTTGTAATCAACTACAATACTAATGGATTCATTTATATTGG